GGCCTAACCTTGACTTTGGTTTTCATGTACTAGAAATTATTTTGAGTCTAGCATGGAGTTTCAGGTAACACATAGTATGATACAGGTGAAAAATTTCATCTTGCATTTAAAATATGTGATGTTTTTATTGAAAATCAATTTGAAATGAAACTATTAGGTCTCCTAATTTTATGATCAATTTCTTATTTTTCAATAGTAGATTAAATATCACTCACATTAAATCCTCGACCCCATGGGAGAACCTGCGATACTTCACCCCATAAAGAGGCTCTGCCTTTAACCTATATGCTACTTCCATCCAAGTATTTCACGTAAGTTCAAAATCGAATGAGTTCTAAAACATATCCTATTATATTTAGTCCAAGCCCTCGTCATATGATATTTCCGTTCATGGAATCCGAAATAGCATTTTACGATGTTTCAATTAAATTTAATTTAAGTTTGAATAAATGTTTCATAATGTTTTTATATTAAATCACATATTGTTATATCTACTAAAATGATGCATCTTAGATTGATGTCAAATGTATCTTTAACTGATGTCATGTCATTATAGTATGATGTCATATCATAACAATGTGATGTCATATGACAAAACATGTCTGCTGAACTAAACTTTTCCTTTCCTCAATTCCTGTTAACATATCCGGGCAAAAACCATAAATGCCAAATGCTTGTATCTACAGTTCAAATAATTACAAACTTCATTTCCTCAATTGTGGAGAACATTTCCAGACTGAATTCATATGTTTTGCTTTATAACCTTCGCCAGCGTACATAATTCAAAACGGCACTGCATTACCAAGTAGCTTGTAACCCAGCTTTGAGTCAAAATAACTTTTAGATAACTGAGCTTAAAGATGCTTATTTACCTATGTATGAATTATCTAGAAATGTCCCTCTTTTTCTCTCCTTTTCTCTATATAACCTGAATTAACATCACATTGTCTAGCATGTGTATACTATTTAGAGCTATACTTATATCTACGATATTTCCGATCATGTCGTGTCTAGTGTAATTGCCATGGAAACGTACCATTCAGAGATTTTATTTATGAGAGCAAATGAACTTGAAAGTATCAGTTTCAATAACTCCATTTGGAACATACTTCAGAATGTATTTTTTAGACTTCTCAATTTATGAAACAAGATGTTTTTGTTATTGTGTTCCAGTAGTTTTACACACATATTTTGAAGCACTTTCCTGCTAACTTATTCAGGATTTCCGACATCTGGTAGAATGAATGAAAACAACAGGCAAAACAATTCAAAATTTTAATTTTACCATGTAAACAGTTGCAAATTTCTTCAAAATGACAGGTTATTTTCATGAAAACAACCAGAGAAAATGCTCTATAGCCTGCTCCTGACTAAATCAATGGAAATGTTGACCTTGGTCAGAATTTGGAACAAAGTAAGCGGTGTAATAATAGATTAAGAGAAAGGCTATGGTAGTGATATTTATATACAAAATGAAGTATGAGAGACAGGCCTGTAGCCAGGATTTGCCCATTGAACCCCCCTGGCTACAGGCCTGAAAGAGTAAAATCAGCAAGGAATAAAGCAATCAATTTTAGCATTACAGAATCATTCATCTTAGAATACATAGTCAAGTTTGTCTCAAAGTCTAAATAATATTGTTGAAGGAAAATACTAAATTTGTTTACTCTGGATTCAAAAAATATTTTGGAATGGTTAAACCACTTTATTTCTGGTTTTTCACATGTGTTAACCTTTTCAGGTAAACCATATGCTACAATATTGTTAAAAACAACCACCTTTATCTTTCTACTGCTTGTTTACTTGTGGAGAGGAACATGCTTTTATTTTCAAGAATCATTTATAGGGGGCAGCACGTGATAAGCACTCTAAGTTTTGCCAATGGAAGTGTCTGGAGGGAGTAAGTAAAATAACCTTTGAAAAGAATAAGATGTTTGATTTTAACAAAATATATCACTGCTTCATCGAGAAATATCAGTATAAATCTGACCTGAAATAGAAACAAATGTATGACTTTTAAATAAAATAAAAAAAGACAAAAACATGACTTTTTGAAGCAAAACCAACATTCTTTTAGATCAATGCAACTTATTACACTTACTGTAATATCAGACATTCTGTATCTGGTTGCTGTGAAGTACAGGTACATATATTCTGATAAATGTTTCCTTCCCTGGGTGACACACTATCCAAGAATACAAGATCCATGTTTATCAATGAGAAATTTCTCGATCAAAATTCTTCAAATATCACCTAAATAATTCCCCAACTTCAACTAGTAAAAGATATAACTTATATTTCAATGTTTTTGTTAATGCAAATATTTTTTGATTTTTTGACTTCAATTTTTTAAAATGTTTTTCCTAATGTAAATATTTACGTTTCAACACCTCAACAGTATGACCTGATTTGATACGCTATATACAACAACTAGAAATTGCATAACCAATGCATATAACCCCTAAGTGAAAACATTGAATTGTTTTGCAAAAAAACTCCTGTGTTTAAACCGAATAATTTTCTTCTTATGAGACCTTTCATATAGCATACAGTCAACGAATATTCTTTAAAACACCCCAGTTATTTATATATGTACCTTCAAAATTGGTATGAAATTTGAAAAAACCATATCATTTTGGAGGATTTCACACAAGAGCAGTCGGCGGGAAAGTAATAGTACAACAATAGTAGAAAATCAGCATTGTTTCCTTAAATAAGATCATATTTTCTTTTAGATGTTAAATACAGACTTCTAATACCCTTACCAAAAGCTAGACATCACTAATCTTTATTTAGAAAAAATCTGGTCTAGTCTCTACCCAATCAGAAAAGGGTACGTCAGAAATCACTTCATTACATTTTCAGCCCCTAACCAGCTAACAATAATGACATTAACACTTCAATAAAAGATGAGCAAAATTATGAAATCATTCTGCATTTTCAGAGGGTAGTGTAGCTAGTTGGTAGATTACAGGGTAATCTCCTCAATGACTGGAAGGCTGTTGATAATCTAAGACTCAATACACATTGATTAACTTATCCTGGTCTAACCTTGAAAATAAAAAGATTTCACTTCCTTATTGGAAATCTCAAGATTGTGCCTGTACAATTAATAATTTGTGATACAGATGGATCAATAGATGGCAGCATGTGTGATGGCAGGGCTAGATGTACAGGAATTCTAATTGACTAGATGCGAGTAGAAATAATCTTGATTTACGTCATTTAATATTCAAAATTCAGTCAAAGTGTTGTCATATTTGAAATCTACATGTACTTATGTAAAAGTACATGAAAATTGTTTATCAACTTTGAAAATTTAATGTTTTTGAAAATGTGACTTCTAGTATAGGGAGATTCCCAATAAAATCACAAAAATTGAAATATCTTCTCTTGAACTGGCCAGATAACATTTTCTTTTACTGGACATATTATTTACATATCTATTAGATACATAAGGGTGACATGAAAATTGAACCACAAAAACATGTAATTTAAGCCACCTGGTGGTGAAACTGATGACTACCTACTCACATCTGAGTTATTGGATGAGCTTAAAAATTAATCAATTAATTTTTTGAATATTTCAGAATAGATTAATGCCAAATTACATGGACATATAAGTGGATGATCTTGATGTGAGGATTAATAATTAAGTTTAAGCGTGTCATCACATACTAAATGCGTCATAACATCTCTTAGATGTGTCATATATATAAGTGTTTGAATCAAAGTTACTTTCAATAATATTAACACTATATTAGTATGATTTTTTGGACATTGTGATAATTTTCTACTTATGTTGCCAAGATATAAGTGTATAAACTCGAGATAATGACCAACTCATTGCAGGCCACTAGGTTCATATACAATCAAACCTATACATTTGAACACCTCTCGTATCAGAACACCTCACAATATGAACACTTTTAGCTGGTCCCATTGGTGTTTGGATTAGATAAGTTTCACTCTGAATCCATAGTTTGAATAGACTTAAGTCCAATCCAAGAAATCCAAAATTATTTGCCATACTGGGATTCAGCTTGTTACAGTCTAAAACACTAGAACAATGCACTAAATGTAACCCCCTGGAAAAGTGTAACAACTGTTACAGATATATAGCTGTTGACTATTTCAATATGTTACCACCTTTTACATTGTAATTAAAATATTGGAAAGCAAATACAATTCATTCCCAACATTTTTCTAAGAGTCAATCGGCAAGCCATCAAGGCTTTTATATGACAAAATGAAAGCACCTGGAAAAGTGTGACTGTTGACAATTTCAATATGTTACCATTTTTAGGTTTTGAAATAAAGATATGGGAAAGCACATCCAATTATTTCTCAACATTTCTTCAAGAGTCAATCAGCAAACTATCTTGACATTATCTTCAATACAAACAACAGATGACACTTCCCATCATGCAACTGTGATCACACAACTTCATATAGGCCAATCAGCATTGAGAATAGAGATGTTTGATATATACTTTTTACCATATAAACAATGTATAACTTATTTATGTGTGACTGTTTCAAGTGATTGATAAATAATCAAAAATGTCAAAAAATCAAAATATAGCTAAGACAGGTAAAAATCCCATTCGTAAATGAATACAAATTAGAGCCAAACAAGTGTTGACAAATGTAAGAATGAGTTGGGGGGGGGGGGGGGGCAAAAAATCTTTCAAAATCATGCAGTTTTTCGCCATTTTGAGCACTTTTCAAGTGATTTTGAACCCCCCCTTGATTTTTAAATTGTGAAGCCCTTAGGCAAAAGCCAGCTATGGGTCTGAAAGCACCTTTTATGGGTGGGGAACAAACGTTCAGTTAGTATAAATTGGTTTAAGTATACATAAACTGAAAACAGATAACACTTCCCATCATGCAATTGTGATCACATGACAGCATATGGATCAATCAGCACTGATATATATTAATAAAAGACAACAAATATATAGGCCTACAGATATTTTATAACAAAAATAATAACTTACATTTTTGCCAATGTAGCCGATTTAAGTTCATCACCGGGATCACTAGAATTTGATTCAGCAGGAAAATGATGCATTATGGGATATTCCCCATTCGCATCTGGGAACCTCCATTCCGGTATTGATGATATCGTACTGTAGGGACTATAGGTAGAGCCACTAGTATCAGTTTCATAATCCAGAGAATCATAACGCGACCTCCGATTAAAATTCTGGTCAACAACAGAATCAAGATTTTTTAATTCATGGATCGTACTATATGGATTATATCCAGTGTCCGAGTCACTGTGACTATTAGTTCGCACTCGGTTTAAAGTTAGATAATGGTTCACGGCAAGATTCGGGCCAGGATGAAAGGAGTGAATCGTATTGTACAAACTTGGATTAGATTCCGGGGGAGGCTCGGAGTATCCATGAGGCTCCAAGGATGAACTACGAGGTCGTAACAACTGTTGCTGAACTCGAACAGCATGAGATTGTGATGGATATCGACCATCATATTGGTCAAATAGATGGTGCTGACATGCCATTTTCTGAGATGTTGGTACGTGCGTGACAATAACTGATGGCATGCTTTTCTGCCGATTAAGAGATTTTTGAGTCTGCATTTAAAATGTGTGCAGATCCTTATATAAAGTATCCCTTTCAGCTCCCATAACCTTATTGAAAGAGCATCCAAAATCTGAAAACTGTATTGTACTGCACTAAGAATCTAAAAGAAGTTTCCCAGATTCTGAAATTTTTGTAACTCCTATCCGAAGTTTGTTCTCACTTTTAATGCTTTTAACCAAGAAATAAATTTATTGTTTTTTCTATTTATTTAGTTTTTCATAGAGCTTAGCGAAATTAGATTTTCGAAATTCTTAATCATATCAGTTTCCAAAATCCTTTCCAAAAACTGTTTTCTTCAATCCGTTTGGTAAACATTTTTCCTTGATGTACCAATGTTGATCAACAAGTCAACAAGTTCAGAGTTGTGATTTATGTGATGTAACACATTTGTGGAACTTTAAACCAGGTCCTATGGGGTCTATAAATCAAGCCACATACTGGTTAGTTCACAATAACTTAAAATCCAACTCAACCCTGAGCAAGAGGCATTCTTCAGCTATCGTCTTCAAATCAGAGATGATTCTTGAGATCAAAAGTTCATCCAGAATTTAAGCAGTCAGTTTATAGTCCCATATAGAATTTATATTTCACATTCAAAACTTCACTTGAGATTGTTAAGATTGCATCTACATCAAAACTATAAACATATCTGTAATTGTCGTCAGAGGGTTGAGTAGCTGAAATAAATCAAGGGTTTTCCAACTGTGTTAAACTAAGTCAAAACTTTTGCAGAACAGCATATGAAAATGGTATGTCCTCTTTAATAACCTTATTTTGTGTACTGTATATACTAACTATAATATTATGTCCTGGAGTTGGTCCATTAAAATCACACACTTCACCTGTGTTGTTAAATTCATTTCAACTTCTTCTATGTGTTAAACATGTAGTTCATTTTTTTGTGAAGTCCTAATTGATGGATTGATTCTTTTTCATTATTGACAATATACAATGTCAATGCGATCAATTGTCATTCAATGAAACGAACCTAGAAATATCCTGCATAATAGTCTTGCACCAAGCCTCTGCTCCTGCCGATTCCAAGAATCTATTTCCCTGACTGATGGGAATGATGCCTCAGAGACTTGATGTAAGACTATATCCAAACTTGCACTTTTGTTGTTTTGAATTGCCCGTAGAAATCTGTCAATTTCTGAATAACTCTTGATTATCCTTTATGTTCAAATCCAGAGATCTCAAATTTGTTATCGTTTGTCCATATGTATCCAGCATATCCATAGATTAACAGCATGTATCCGTATGTAAATCAGAAATTATCCACATGTTTTATGTATGGATCCAAGTGTTGCAAGATGTCCTTCTTTAATCTCTAATTAATTCTTATTTTGTACTCGTTGATTGAGCACATTTCACCACATGTACCTGGTATCTTGCTTTGTTTGGACCTTATCCGTCACTTGTTAAATTTCACAATACATCGTCATAAAGATAATTCAATCCAGATACAACAAGTATTAAAATACCTTGCTCGAGACCCAGAAAATGCTCAAGATGGTCATGTTTTCAAATCCAAAATAGAGTGGAAAAGAGTGGAATTAGCTAGGAATAAAGTAAACAGACATGTAGTGAACACTCTAAATTGTATAGAAATGCAAGAAAATCAGGTAGTTCATTCAAATTTTAAAGAGAAAAAGTGTGCAAAAGACAAACCATAACGTCAACTTTCTCAAGGGCAATCGTGTTTTTTCCTAATTATCTGCTGAAACCATGTGGTGTTATTAAATATCATAGATATACTTTTATCAAAAAATGTCTGATGTCATCATCATATATCTCATTATGACTAATTAAATAATTAATTATTTTGAAGCTATATTTGAAGCCAAACTTAGATATCTGATTGCCTTAATCAAGTATTATTACATGATGTTTGGGTATTAAATCTGATAAGGTTCATTGAAACAAATGAAAAATATATTTAACTGCTTTTTGAAATGCATTAATAATTACATATCAAATTAGTTAATAACTTAGATTTCAACATCTCTCTTTAAAAAATACTTTTTGAAGCATCAAACCACTGTCCAATTTTATTCAAATTACAGAGAACATCGGGTCAATAAATATTTCCAAATCTGCACATGTTTTTATCACCTTTGCCTAGCATTATCAAGTCAAAAGTATTTAACTTAATTTATCTAACTCATATGAAAACATGAAAACTTTCAAGATGTTCACGTTTTACACACAAAATAGAGTATAAAATAGTAGAATCAGCAAGAAATGAATAAATTATATAGAACTTCAAGACCAGTGAAAGTTGCCAAGAATTTAAGAGAAAAATCTTTTGAATATGCACATGTATTAAGTTTGACTTTACCTCTTAAAAAGAGCATTTTCTACATTACAAACTGTATTTTTGATGAAAGATTACTTTAAGTACTTCCCAATCATTTTTTACCTCAGAATCTATATTTCTGCATGGAATTGAACCATTTTATTAATTGTTCTCTCCTTTTTGTACAGTACTGTTTTTGTCCTTTCATTTAGTCTATATCCAGTGAGCTTACAATTAAATTTGAAATCCAATCACACTTATATGCAAACCTTTGATTGCATTTTTCGCAAATGTTCAACTAAAACTTGTTCTAGATCAATTCACTGTTGTTGTTTGGTGTAAAAAGTCAAAGTTATTTTTTACTGAAAGAGCCCTTGTTTCAAAATATCAACCAAAATCCTGCTTAAAATCGCAGCATTTCTTTCAAAATGTATCCAAAATGTCCAATTTTTAGATGTGTTTCTGGCAATAATAGTTTAATAAGATCTATTTTACTTCTTGTTAAATTCTCTCTTAAACCTGTCATATTCAAGTTCAATAAAAACAAAAATATTGTGATATTTTACTTCAAGGTTGTAAATGCTAGTGGGTATAGGTACACCTAAATTATCTATATCATCTTCAAAATATGATCTTGAAAAATCACATTTTCTAGATGCAAAATAATGTTGATTTTACACAATTTCTTCTCTTTCCACTTGTTTTCGTAATTTCATGATGATCATAGTTCAATAAAAGTCTTCATTTCATTTTGAATACTTTGGCAAAAACACAGAATCTAAAAGATAACAATTGTTTTGTTTTGATACAAGGGCCATTTAACCTACAATTAGGCCTGAAGGTGGCCCTAAGAAAACTGTCAAAAATATATTTTAAAAAGCAGAATAGAGTGAAAAAGAGTGGAATTAGCAAGGAATAAACTATACAGACATGTAGTCAACAATCCAAATTCCATAAAAATATCAAAAATGGTGCAGTCCTTTCAATATACAGAGAGAAAAGCACGAAATAGACATAACCATTTTGAACATTTTCTTGTAGGTCAAGGTTTTTACTTATTTTGCATGTTAAATCCAAGGATGATGACTTTTCCCCGTTTCTGACATTATGTTCTTGTTTATCTGTTTATGATTGTACTTTCTGACATTTTCCAAGTACATTTATAATTTGTATGATTTTCCTTGAAACGTGGCAAGTCTCTGGTCACCACACCCCACTTGATATTTCAAACCAGTACATCTTGCAAGACATGGTTCACCTCATGCATCTCATATCAAATAAACAGACAAGGCATTAACATCCAAAATGTCACCACCTGCCATTTGTTACAAATGCCAAACATCACACACCAACCGCTGAACACCAACCATCAAAAACCAACCACCAAACACTGTCCACAAAAAGGTTGTGGTGTTGTTATAAAAAAATTAATTTGAATTAAGAGTAGAATTCATTTAATGATATAAAGACTGAAAATGAATGATTTATACAAAGTCCTCTCCAAATGCTGACATCTATGAGGTGCAGATCTCCAATTTATTCATAACATCAAAACAACTCCTTCAATAATGCAATGAACCTCCTAAATCACACTTAGGAAAACAAAAATAATGCATTAAAAACAATATGAAAACCTCCACAAAAGATCCTTTGGAGAGAGAGCACTCACAGATACCTTTTTTCATTGAATCCTTCGGCCATTCAGTATTCAAAAAATTATATAACCAACTGACTAACCACAGTAACCAGGTGCTGATTTATCACGCAAATTACTCATTTTTCACATGTCATGTCTGACCATGATTTTTAATAAAAACATGACAGACCAAGATACAGTGAAACCTATATATCTGAACACCTCTATATAATCTGAACATCTCTTATTATGAACACTTTTTCTCTGTCTTATATTTCCCACTGATTTACATATCAAATAACCTGCCAATCTGAACACTTATTGGCTTGTTCCAATGGTGTTTGAATTAAACAGATTTTACTGTAATTAAAACTTGTATTTTTCAGATATTTTTTTTGGTCCCAAATTTGTCATCTCCGATCTGCCCAGACTCACAAATTGAAAAAATCGTTAAACGTGAACACCTGTTCATCTGAACACTTTTTGGCTTGTCCGAATGGTGTTGAATAAGACAGATTTTACTGTAATTGGCATGGGTCTCATTGCAAAGAAATGACATATCATACCAAGTATCTACTCCCAAAAATAAAATCCTGATTCAATCTCTCAAACCTCCATTGATACCCTGTAAAACTGATCCTAAATAAACCACCTGTTTTAATAGAAAGCTACCCTTTCCAATGGTATCTTCTGTAAAAGAGTGCTCAACTCTGATATTCAGGGTAGTGGAAAGCCACACATCTTTTTTTTAATTTCTCAAAGTTCCATCGATACCCTGTAAAACTCATCCTAAATAAACCACCTGTTTTAATAGAAAGCAACCCTTTTCAATGGTATCTTCTTTAAAAGAGTACTAAACTCTGATGTTGAGGGTAGTAGAAAGCCACACATCTTTTTTTAATTAAGAGTTTCCATATTAATTTATCAGTGTAAAGTCTGGCTGGAAACACTTCCACTTTGTCTCATAAATAACTTAAGATCCTGCTTCAGTACAATTTCGAATATAAATGTCTTTTACTATTTCCAATATAGTAAAGCCTGTCCTAGCGAACACCTCTCTATAGCGAACACTGTTTAGTGAACACCACTTCAAGACACATTTTACATTGACTCGTCCTGTATATAATCCCTTCACTGTAATGCACATTTTCCTACAGTTAACACCTTTTGTCACTCCATAGGTGTTCACTGTATACAGGTTTTACTGTACTTTGATATTGCTTCTTATAAAAGAGACCTTCATCTACACTCT